TGTTTCTTTTATATTGTATTTATTATACTTTTTCATAAAATCCTTAATTATTTAATGACTAATTAAAATTTATTTATTACATTAAATGTAAATTATAAAAATTCCATCTTCTGATGTTAGTTAAATATTAAAGTATTTATTTAGTATATTTTAAATATACAAAATTTACGGTATTAAATCTATAATTTTTAACTATTAAGTTCGTTTAATTGGATAATATGATATAAAATATCACACAACATCAATATGTTAGTGTAATAACTCAAAAATCTTTTTTTGAGATAATCGAGTTTAAATATTGTATTAATATTCTATTTGTACTAAATTAAATTTTAACGAAATGTAATGAACAAAAAATAAAAAGAATATTTAAAGAACTTAAATAAATGTATCCCTATCTTATCTCTTTTTATTCTTGTTTATTATGTGAATTTTTAAGAAGTAAAAAATGTAAATAAATATTTGCACTTACCTTTCAAATTATCTTTTAGTAACTTCTTGATTCAGTGTTAACGATATTTTGTAGAGTCTTACGTTAATTTGGATTAATTAGATATATATATATACAGGGTGTTCAGTAAGTCAGGAAACGGGTTTCTATTGTTCTCATTGTTTGTAACAATGAGAACAATAGATACCCGTTTCCTGACTTACTGAACACTCTGTATATATTTATTTATTTATAACATTTTATACAGGCAAAGCCCAAAATATATATAACAGTCATCATAAACATCATTTAGATGTTATGATATTAGATCATAATCCTCAATACGCGTTTTCATTACCTTGGCAATATACGTCGTACATAAAATATGCACTTAAAAGGATTCTCTATTATGATATATTATTCTTTTTATACTTTTCAAACTCTTTTCATATTATAATAGATTATTACCAATAATATTTACGATAAATTCTCTATAATCGATATCGATATTCTTAAAACTCACTTTGAACTTGTCAAAATAAAAATGTAAGAATATGTTTATTTATATTCAAAATATAATCAACAATACTGTGGCGGCCCAGCGTTTCTCAACGTTAAGTCTTAGCTGGTGTGGACACAGTTAACCTCATTAATATATATTTTATAACATAAATTTTATTACATTATACCTCTTGATATTCATTACGCCAAATGCTTATACGTTATAAAAAAGGTAGGACCTTTTGCCTAGCTTTATGACTGATCGTGTAGTTGTAGAGGATACTTCCAAGATACAGTTTCCTATCGTTCTATATATAATTAGTTATGATCTATATGCAGACTACTAGCTCTACGAGAACTGGCTTGTCAATGGAGAAAGTACTCTTCAAAATATAGTATAATTGAAGCACACATTGTGTTTCCAGTATTACTCTTTACCCCAACAACTTATATGTTACCAAAAAGGTCGGACCTAGTCGTAAAAATGACGTGTACACCGGCGTAGATTACTACTTCTATATTAATTAACATTAATTATAATATTACGTTTTTTTACTCTGTTCGGCACATTTAAGGCTGTCCAGAAATGAAGGACACAAAAATATTTGAAATCATTAAATATAATAAAACAATATTCATTTTTTATAAGGACGTTTAGGTTAAAGTAAAAATAAATAAGACTATATTGCGTAAAATATTGTAAATTATCTAAAAATAATGTTCACCATTTAGGGTAATATGAAAGAACCAAATTGTAGAAACAGAATATTTACTTTTACTGACGCAGATTCCATGTAAGAGAATATTGACCAAGAGTATCACAAAATCCCTTATTTTAGGGAAAAAATGGCTTTTTTATATTCTGGAGAGAGTAAGTCATGTAAATCTCTAGTGAAATTCTATAGATGCTATATAATTATTTGTGGTAGAAACTTGGGTATATGCGTTATTAATGAATTGTAAGGGACTGGTTTGAAATACGTATTCATAAATTTTGAATACTCTAAATGGGAACATTCCTTAGATGATTTTTGCTTTATTCATATATATATATATATATATATATATATATATATATGTGTGTGTGTGTATGTGTGTATATTTAGTACATGTTTTAATGATTATACTACAGTATACAAAACATTAAGTGAATTATATATTAAAACTTACAAATTATGAGTACAAGCTATCTTTGTCACAAACTTATTCCAATTGTGACAGGCGTTTATATACATGTGAATTTTGAATCTGGGCAAAAGAACGAAGTACGTCCAAATTAAATTTGCCTTCAAAAGCTTCTTTAGCATTGTCTACTAGATTTTTAATGCAAACTATATTCCACGTGATCATATTTTCTTTGAATTCTTTTGTTAAATTTCTTCGAGACATTTCCACTTGATATTGAATATTTTGTTTTTGCTCTTCTCCCATTACCATTGGTTTCATAATTTCTTTAAAAGACAAATTTGAAATAATGTCATTTATTGCACTCGTAATATCTTTTTCATCGTCAATACTTCCACAACTTAAAATCTTAATTGGTCGCTGTAATCTCGATAATGCTTTTTTTATTCCTATGTCTTCTGTGAAACTAAAAAATTCAGTAAAGTCTTTAAGGTGACTAATTATTTCATGATTGTATTTTTTAATGTTGTACATTAAATAAAGAACTATTGGACCATTTAACATAGACATTGCAGCAACAGTTTTTAGGTAGTTCCAGACTGTTCTAATTACCATAAGTTTGGAAAGTTCAATAAAATCATTATGAAAAACACTCAAACTTTTAATTTGTTCACTTAATGTGGTGTTAGGTACTGAGTTTGAACCCTTTTGGTATTGCTGATGCAAATAGCCAAAAATTGTTTCTGAACTTTCTTGTCCATAAAATACTTTAAACATTCGTCTACTAGCTAACGTCCCAAGAATACTAGCGAACATATAATTTAGATGAAGCACTTTTCTTGAATACTTTTCTTCGCCGTCTGTACTTAAGCCAAGCTTATGATTGTTTTCTAATTGATTCAAGGTCATTTGATAATTAGAGTTAATTAATTCTAATAATATATTTTCCGGGTAATATTCTACTGGTTGTATTTTATTGTGAAACATTACACACTGATCTGTTTCCATGAACTCTTCTAGCAAATGGTCAACTGCTGTATGAATAGACAACACTATTGATTCGTAAATGGGCCATAAATCTTCATCATCATCATTGCTTTTCATGGCGGATTTAATATGTTTATCGGCTATGTGTTCATACAAGAGAAAAATCCACAATAGATTTTTTAGGGAACCCATTGCTGGTACATTATGGACATTAGAAAGCATGAGAGTGGCTATCTTAACAAACGAAATTGATTGATCATTATTTGCGTTTACTGATACTGCCAATTTACGATTTTCCAATAAACTTTTTGTTAGACTCATGTAATTTCTTGCACTAAATATGTAACTACATTGAATCTCTTTACAAATCATATGAAAATGTTGAACTTTTTCATTAAAAGGAAGTTCATTTAATAATTCAGGCTGTATTAATTCCGTGTTACCGTATCCGACATTGAGTTTATCAATATTTTGAATGATATTAAGCAATTGTTCATCAGAATCATCGCAAAAGATAAATCCACATTTTGAAAAGAGTAAAAAACATAGCATTAAAACTGTATAAGGTAACATATTGAGAGCGAATTTGACTATTCAAGTAGCAAAATTTAAAAATTTTATGCAATGATAATTTTTTTAATGCCTGAATTGATGTTATTACCACGATATTAAGTTTTAACACTAGTTGAAAACATTAACATCTGTGCAAATTCAAACCAATAATAAATCTAATATAAAAAATGATATCATTTGCATATGTTAATCACATGGAAGGTGACAAAATTAAATTTATTCGAGAGTGCGAAGATAGATTGAAACCTTAACTATTATTGATTTTTACTTTTATTATGTGTGAAAAATACAATAATCTTAACAAGTCAAACATAAACAAAGTTAAAACAAAAATGTAATGCTTGCTAAATTTCCCCTTTTCCAAATATATTATCTAATCAAACTTCTTTTCAATTTATAAGATGACAAAAGAAGTTATGAGGCTTTAATTTTTTATTCTATAATTTTATAAAATTTTATTTACATATGTAAATAAAATTTGTTGAATTTAGAGGTGAGAAAGAAGTTATAAATACTTTAGTAAAACAATAATCATTTTTATTTTAAACTCTTAAATTAAAACTCATAACTGTTTATTTACAATAAAAATTTTACTATATTTGTGTAAAATTTTTCAGCAAAAACCCGAGTTTCAGTATTAATTTTTTAACTATAAAAAGACTTGAAAATTAACAGTGGAATATTATTGCTGTGCAGAATAGTAATGTTAAGTGAGAAAAAATTTTACCATCGTGAAAAAATGCTATTGATTTGAAATATTTCACAGTAAAAAATATAGCTGTATGTGCTACAATTATCATAAATTTTAAATATGTAGATCGTTAACAAATTGAGGATTATAAATCAGATATAAAAAGTGTTCGATAATTTAGGATTCGTCAAAATAAAATCAAAACAACTTTTTTGGATTTATTAATGATAATTAAAAAAAAAATTTCCTTGAATATTAATAGGATAACTTCTATGATTAAAATTAAATACAGCTCTATTTTGTTAGGTAGAATTTATCCTCATGATAAATTAAGAAGTATTAGTAATCGATCTCGGCACTTACCAAAACTTATGAATTTCTGTTTAGATGACATTTATAAGTTATTATAACAAATAGCACTGACCGCATTTTATAACACTATTTGTACAGTTTATTACTTATTCTATTTATATTGTTACACTATTCAATTAATATTTAACAATACAATGTTTAAAAGGTTATGTTATTTTTCAAGAATTATTGCACTCTTATTAAATAATAATTAAATTTTTGCAACAGTGAATAAAGTTGATTACCTTTTATTCTACGAAATTAATAAACTTTATAATTATCAAACATTATATATTATTTAAATTTATAATTTAATTTCATTAATTAACAGTAATTAAAAACAATTTAAAAGATTATTTCTGTCAACGTATAAATGTAATATTAAAAAGTTAAAGATTTATTTGTTAATTGATTATATTTTTCACAGTGAAATAAGATAATACCTTAAGGATCAAATACATTGATAAAAGAACATAAAAATTGTACCAATAACTATCGATTTTCATATCTAAAATCGTAAATACATGTTTCGGAGAAGTATTAAAGCAAAACGTCTGAAACAAGTGATTAATAATCACAAATTTTTTTAACTGTTGGAAATTATTTTCAAAAAATATGGTTAGATTAAGAGCGTATTTATGACAGTCAAGGAATACTATCTCCCTTCACCCACATTTTTTACCAAAAATGTTAGCTTTAGAGGAATTATTAACAGAAAAAAAAAATTATTATTATAAAATTTTCATTCATCCCCCGAAAAAATGTCTAAGTACGCATCTGGGTTTAATGAATCTAAGATTAGACCCATAAAGAGTCAATCTTTATTTATTCGAAATTTTACTAAAATCATAGGATATTAACTTAAAAGAAGTTCGTTAAAAATATAGCTTGTACTTGACATACCTCGAAACATTTTAAATTAGGCCTGTCTGTGCCATAAACACAACTCAATATTGCTTCGATGGCCCGATTATAAAATGAACAGTCAAATAACCAATGAAACATTTTAGGAGAATCAGATTTTCTTATGAAAATACCGGAAAATGTTGTCCACGACAATATTAATACAGTTGCTAAAAATGTATTGACCTAGACATAAATAATTAATGTAATATAGCTAATATACAAACATAAAATTATTCTATCAATAATTCTATCAATAATTCTTATTATTATTAATGAAATTTACTTTTGGATCACTAAACAATGTTCCAATGACCATACCAGCAGCTTGAACTAAAAGTGCTGTTATAAACATAATTGATACAAATGAATAAAACCTCGACCATTCTAAGGGCTGATCCGTCAAGTAGTAAACTATACAACAATATAATGATGTACACAAACCCTAAACAAGGAAAAATGTTATTTAGTATAACACAAATAGATTGAACTGTGTCTGAGAAATTTTATAAAAACATTAATAATAATTTATCATTTTATTGTGGTAAATTACTTAGCATTTTTCACCTAACCAAGGTAAAATGTAAAAGTAGATAGATTAATTATTCTTCTACGCATTTCATTTACTAGGCAGGGAAGAGTCTATTTAAATTTTTAAGCTTTGTTGTTTTGAATTTTGATATTACACAAGTATGTTAATTAATCAAAAATCAATTAATGACAATTTTATACCAATGTAAAATTAATTAATATTAATTTTCTTAAATTATTAAAATTATAAATAATTTCTTATTATAATATACCATCGGGATAAAACGAGATTGTCTCACAAGCCCCTGCATATTTTGCTTCATCTCAAATGAAACTTTTTTTTGAAATACACTGATAAATATAATATTTTTAAAATAAACAAAAAATATATAAAATAATAGTTCTTATACAAGATGTGTCCACAAAGTTTTGATAAATTTAATCACTTTTTATCTATTAAATATTTTTCGTTACTTTTTTTTTTATAATAATTCATATTTTTTATTATTATTTTATTTAATAATAATGAAAAAATTTAATTTTTTTCAAAATTTTAAAATCCCGTTTTTCAGAACTTTCTTTTTTTAATTTCTATGGTTCAATTACAATTTTAGGATTAGTATTTATTGAGTTACAATAATTTTAATCCAAAGAGTAGGTATGGAGCACGCATGGGTACAGTTCTTATTGGTTTATATTTATAATGTATACTCCACCCGCGCTAAAATAGTTAAATGGAACCTTATTATTATTTTTTAATATTAAATGTATAAAATCAAAATTTGCATGGTTGACAACCACTTTTTCTTTTAGCTATATGTTAAGGGGTTACGCAGCATAAAAGACTAATTCTTCTATGTTTATTTTATTTTGATGAATAGTTATTCTTATCTGTGTGCTATGGTAAAAACAGAGCATTTCATTTTTTAATATTTAAATGTGAAAATACCATAAAGTAATGTTACAAAATTAGTTATAGACCGGCCAAAGTCTCATTTAGACGATTTATAATTTAATATTAAAAAATAATAATAATATTTTCCTATTAACTTTGAAAGTTACCCCTATAAGATCTGTCCTTAGAAAGAAGTTTTATCATACTGATTAACATAAAAAAAAATCGAATTATAACTTATAAAAAATAAAAATAATTACTTGAATGGGTAAATCGACTAAAATGTTACAGAAAAAAAATGTCGGTAGTGAATACCATTGATTAAAATGTTCTTTTTTTAATACAGATAGTTCTGAGGGAACTGTGAATTTAATAGTTACATTAGTACAATAAACAATAATAATATTAATTTTATGGTATATAATATATAATAATAACAACACAAATTCAAAAGTTGAACTAAGGGAAAGTTTTTCTCATTTAATAATTGTTAAAAGTATTGGAAGCCATTGTGATTGATCATTTTTATATATTATATGCTCATTTTGATTACTTATTACATTATGTTGTCTCACATTTAATTAGCATTGAATTAGAAGCTGAGAATGTTATAAATACTATGGAAAAAAATAATAGTTTTAAATTATCTTGAACTTTTGATGCGTCATTGCCAACACCAAAATATATTGAACTGTATATGAAACTAATTATAATGTGTAACATAATCCTTGTCATAAAAAACTAAAATATAAAACATTATTTATACAATAATTATATTTAATATAAACAATTTATTATTAAATATTTTATTTTAATATTAACATTAACATATGTGTACTAACTTTTTCTCGTTTTAAAGTTATCAAATATCTCTGCAAAAGAACGATGAATTGTTTTATACTATTGGGTGTATATTTTTGTGTTAAAAAGTTGATTTCTTCACCAAAAAATTGGTTAGAAACTGATAACTCGCAATCTGTTAACATCAATTATATTTTTTCAACTAATAATTTTAACCACCAGCTTTAATTTAGAAGTTTTATCAAAATTAATTTACAGTTGTTTCCAATAGCATTTAGCATTAAATATTATCCAAATACCAAAAGTGATTATTTTAAATGAATCCCATCATGCATTTAGATAACTACTTTACTCAAATAAAAATGTTTATAAAGTATAAAACGAGTAATTCACCTTTTAAAATGTTATCTTTCTTTACAATTATTTCTTTATATGGAGATTTTCCATTTTCAACGAAAGTCATTAATTCATAAACACGATCACCATATTCTCCCATACTTACTTCTATAACTGAAATTTCAATTTTATAATGTACCAATATTTAAATAAACACATTTTACTTGTAATTCTTACTGAAATCTGCAATGTTATGATATAACGGACATTGTAATTTTTGTTTTTCAAGAAAGTTGGTTAAAGATGAAGTCAGCCCATGGTAAATACAGTAACCAGATGAAGAGAGTACATACAAAACATCAAACATTTTTAGTTCTTTAGATGAAACCTGATGTATGGTACTTATGACTGTTCTACCTGAATTTGCTAAGTCCTTTAAAATCTGGATGACTTGTTTCGTCGATGCACTGTCTAGTCCACTGAAAATAAATAATAAACTCTTACATACATTTTACATGACCATTCTATCAAATCTTGTACTCAGCCATGTACCTAGTTGGTTCGTCGAAAAACATAAAATTGGGATTATGTACTAGTTCCAACGCTATAGACAATTTTTTACGCTGACCACCTGATAAATTTTTCGCTAGCGTATTAAAAGAATTTCGCAAATTTAATAGGTTTAAAATAGAATCCATCTAAAATTAATCATAATTTTATAAGTTTAAACGATTTGAATATATAATAATTTTGATTACATTAAACTTTTATTTTCTAAAACTTTTATATGACTTATAAAGATTATATAACATAAAACACTTTAAAAGTGTAAAGTAAAATATTAAAAGTAAAAATAAAAACATAAAATAGTATTATTACTATAAAAAATAATTGATTCAACACGTTATAAAAGTAGTGCTACTTATTTTTATGAGATATATAATATTCGAAATGTATATACAATTAATATACATACCATTTGCGTTTTTGATGTATTCATTAATAAAGTTGAAGATTTAAGTTTTATGGCAAATTCCATCGTCTCATGAACAGTAAGCTGGTCATGTAGTTGATCATCTTGCATAATGTAACAAGACTGTTTTTTAAAAGAATTTATTTTTCTAGGTTTTCCATTAATTAATACTGATCCAGAATAGTTTCTCGTCCTAGATTTATGAAACATTTTATTAATATACATGTTTTTTAATTTAAAATTATTAATTTAAAATAAATTAAAACTAGGATTTTTTTAAGGAGATAAAAAAACATTTTTAGTTATCATATAAGATATTTTATTTTATGATCGTAAGAACTTTTTATGTTTATTAACTGATAAATATTAATATTTGTTATTCATGAGCGAAATTTTAGGGATAGCAAATTATTTTTAAATCTTTCTAGGATTTTCTGACTTCCCTTTAACCAATTTTGATTTCCTATACTTATAAAAACGAGCTCAAAATATTCGCTCCCAAATCAAACAACTTTTCACATTTCAGTGTGGATGAAATGCAAATACACTAGTATGCGCTGTACCCACTCGCGCTATATACCCACTTAATATATAAAATGTTTGGCACTCAATAAGTACTGACCTTAAAGTTGTTATTAACCCATAAAAATTTCTTGTAAGAAAAGAACAAAAAAAAGGCTTTTTAAATTTAAAAATTCTTAATTTCTAGGCAGCCGATAATCAAACATAAATTTAATCAATGACTGCATACTTATCTTCATTAATGGTCACATTCAATAATTTTTTTTTTTTAATTGACTGATAAAAGACACATAACGAATTATGAAATAATTATATAATATATTGATTACATTATTGAGCAATAATAATCAAAATTTTATCACTGAACAATTAGTAATTTGAAGGACAGCAAAAGATTTTAGGATCGAAAGCGCGATCCCTTGCAACCCCGTCATTAAAACACCTGAAAACAAAAGCATATTTATGAGGGAAGATCCTCGCGGTGCAGATTCCTCCATTAACATAAAATTACATAAATAGAAAGTTGTGGAAGTGCTTTCATCTATTCTACGTTCTTAATATTCTAAATTTTTGCTATCCATATAAAAGGTGATTTTTTCGAAAGGTTGTGTAAAATTAAAAGAACACTACAAGAAAATCTATTTTTTAATATTTTACAGTATTACAAAAAACACTTTAATACCACAAGATCCTGTTATTGTTGTTCAAGATATAAACTTATCTTAAGTTATAGTTCCTGACGAAAGATTCATGCGCCAGTTAAATTAGCATAAAAAAATACAAATAATTAATGTCAAACGATTGACTAACTTAATATCTAAATTTTAGTCTATGACCAGCTTTCGGAAAAGTAAAACATAACTTTCATTAAATAACAACTAAAATATCAAAAAGACAATCTTCTAGAATAAAATAATTAATTTTAACACAAATTATTATTTTGTCCAGATTATAACCGCTCAAAATATTTAAAGCCAATTAATCAAATCTCGACTTGTCAATTGACATAGTACCATTTCTTAATATAAATATTATTAGATAAATATTTGGCTACTTACTTTATGTTATCAATTGTTATTTATAAAATTTGAGTTAATAACAATTTATAATAATTTAAACCTTCCTTGACATTCATAACAAGTTCCCTCAACTCGTTAATTATTTTAACAAATTTTAAAATTTGTTGAATGAAGTAGCCATTAGCAAAAACAATATTTTATCAATAAATTAACTCACTTATAACCAGATAAAAAATTTAGAAGAGATGTTTTTCCACAACCCGAACTTCCAATAATAGCACACAATTGATTTTGAGAAAACTGACCACTTACGTTTTGAAGAATACATTTTTTTTCTATAAATTTATTTTAATATATTAATCATTTTTCAATAAAAACTGTTAGTTTTTTAAACTCATTATTAACTAATATTACCAATTTTTAAATTATTTATAAGATAAAAGACTTTATAACTTATATCATTGAAGACTAATGATAATTTCTCATCAAATGGCTTCAGTTTTGAATTCATAATACACTAAGTTAATTTTTTATATAAGTTATGTTTTCTTTGTAAATAAATTCATTAACTTTTTTTAAATTTGTCCGTTTAACCTGTAAAAAAGTGCACATAAGATATTTATAAATTGATTATGATTGGATAATAATCATATCTGTTAATATTTTAACAAGTAAAAAATAATATCGTGATTGTTTTATCTAAAATCAATATATCATATATTTTTATGTATGAGTTTTTATTATTTTTATGAAAATAAAACTTATTATATTACTCTGTTTTTAAAAATATTTACTTTCAATAAAATAAATTTTTTAGTAAATCGTATAAAATTTATTATTCTAATTTAAATTTTTACAAAATTTCAATAATATAATAACATTGTTTTTAATTTTGGATTGAGATTCAATCAAATCAAACGCATGATTCTGATAAAACTATCTACTTATGAACTAAAAAATATCAATATACTAAAAAACATATCTATTATACATATATTATTATATTATGTATATTTTAATAATAAATGATACATATATTATGTATTATCCTATACAAAAAAAAATATTTACACTAAGTTTATTGAAATACATTTTGTGTTTCTTTTAATTTTTAAAATTTTTATATTATAATAGCAAATGTATGTTGGCTTATATTTGGAATTCACTGGATTTGTGTAAATTATTATTTTTCTATGTAATAAATAAAGTTGACTTGGTTACATTTGTATTATCAGTTATAAAATCAGTTTTGATTTAAATTATTGAAACAATATCAGAAATTTATATAAAATTTGCAAAAGCTTGTATTGCATTCAATAAATTAATTTTTGAAAATATTAATTAGCTCATTATTATTACAAACTTTATAAACTTAACAGTAAATAATAATTTTGTCGACAATGTCACAAAAAATAATCATAATTACATGAAAATAACCATACCGATCGAGAAATAACAATTTTATTATTCGATTGGTAATTGTCATTGTCGTATAAAAACTAACCAGTAAGTTTAGTAAGTTTAAATAAGTATATTTTATTAAATACAATTTTATTTTTATTTTATTTGATGTAAACGCCCATGTGGGCTCAAGTACAGTGACGATAAACATTGTTGAAATAATAAATAGAAAAGTAATTTATATTGTTTGACAGTAAATTTAATTTTAGTTCTGGCCAGTTCTGAAAATAAAATATTGATTTAAAACTAGTTATAGGCAAAATCTCATTAATATCGTAATCAACAAATTTATTTTTTTGATTGTTACATACGTAACAATAAATAACGTTAATATAATCATATTATAACATTGACCATGACTCAGAAAGAGTTATATAATATAATTATTTTAGTATTCGTACAATGTAATTACAAATATGCTGATGATTTACAGAATTTGGTTAAGAGAAACACGACAAAAGGCACGAGTAAACTCATATAAATCCTTGAAATTTAAAAAAATTGTTGGATCAATAATATTAAAAAATAATAATAATAATAGTAAAATTATTAAATAATATTAAACTACCATGGTAGTTATTATTTAAAAAGCTTTCAAAATTGGAAGAATAATGAAACATGTATGTCAATTAACAAAAAAATAATATTATCACACTCATTTTTAATTTAAACTATTTATTTATTGGAAATAAACTTCCAATAATGCGAAATACAGTACTAATATATAATTAAGATAACACGTTAAAATTATGATAAGAAAAAATTAACAAGTAAAGTTTTCAAGTTAATAAAAACAGAAATTTATAACCAATTAATTTTTAAGTAACTAAGTAACTAATTTTTACACTAAGTATAATACAAATAATATCAAATAAAATAATTAATTCTTATAAAATGTATAAAATTATATAAATTATTATAAGTTTATATTTTGCTTATATAAAACTTTATTATTTAAAAATTAATTGGTTATANATTAAAGCAAAAGAAAAACGATATTTAAGAATAAAATTAGGTTCTAATGAAGGAAGTATTACTTATAATTATTCATGTAGGTAAAACTTTCCATGTCTCTATATTTTTGTATATTTATTTTTTTATAAATAATTAAGTAATAATTAATGATAATATTAATTAATAATAATCACATTAATAATAATGTCTGTATGACACGTTTCATGGAATTGCATTGCACAAAAAAAATATTTGCTAAGTATATCTAATAGATAAATATAGATAATTTATAGATAAAAAAAAAACATCGTACATCCTGGTGCAGATCAACAATTTTTTTGAGTCTTTGCACTAAATTTTATTACGAAAAATTATATTTTTAAAAACTCTAAATTCAGAAATAATAATTAAAAATTGAAAAATTCTACTTTAAATATTGATTATTGATTTAAATTAAACTTAAAAATGGCAGACTTAATTAAATCGGTATATGATAAATAAGCATAATTAATTTTTATAAAATCAGTTCCTTAATCTTTTTTCGTTTTTTTATGTTACCCTCATATATATTCATACATATAGAATAAATGTATAAAGATATTCTGAATTACAATTGTTAGTGTCGCGGCATTACGTTTGTCAGTGTCGTTAACTCGTTTATCCATTCACTTCTATGAAATCCAGAAACTCCCATGAGAAGTTTTTACTTAAAAAAATGGTTTGCCATTTATATAATTAAATATGATTCTCAAACTAACAAAGAATTCATGATATTTCACTTATATTGAAAGGGAGCATGAAATCCTCTAGATCCGCCATTGCGTATACCATTAAAAATTAAATATATAAATTATTTGATTTTTTTAATAAATAAATTTGTATTATTTTTAATAAAAAAATTCAATTTCAGTTTATAATTTATAAAAACAGAATTCAAAAATATCTAGATATTGTGATTATTAAGCCTTTAAGTTGACATTTTGTGTGTAGAGTACATGCCATAAAGCATATATTGACAAACAAAATTTAAACATATTTATTTATCTGTTTTTAAATTAATTATTAGGTAACATACTGGTAAACGAACACTACTGAGTTTTAAATAAAAAATTGTCTAACCTAATTATAAAATAATTATAAAAAATTGTTGTTAGTAGTTTTTATATTAAATAAAATATTTAAATAAAGTCCTACTGCATAATACATTATTTATATCATTGACTGTTCATTCACTAGTAAAGTCTCCCTACTTAAATTAAAATTAGAATAAACCTGATATTAATTATTGAAAAGATAAAAATTAATTTTTATTTTAAATGTATAATGTTTCGAAAAACAATTATAGAAAATATTGCAAAATCATTTTTTACTAATTTTAAGTTACTTACAATAATGAATATAAATTAATCATTTACCTTTATAATTTAATATCCAATATTCAGTAAATCTATTAAGGTAATAAAACGAATAAAATAATTTCACATAAGTTGATAGAAGGTCTTGTCGTACCAAAATTAGACAACTAACAAAAATTTTCATATCATTTAAAACTTAATTACACATCCTTTTTACTGAAGGTTATTCAAACAATGGAATTTTACCCTCACTCTGTGTAGTAAATTTTAAGTACTATGAAATCTGGAATTATTTTAGAATATCTAATTATTTAACGCAGTCTATATAAATATGTAATATAAAAAAAGAGATCATACTTATGTTTTATTTTTTTAATGATTCATTAAATATAAATTCTTAAACTAATCACAGCGTCGTAAATATATCAAATTTTAAAAGCATCAAAATAAAAAAATTAATTAAGGTCTTATATATTCTGGTTTAATTTAATTTTTTTTAAATCACATCATCTATTTTTATGGCTGTTTTTGACATTTTTTTAGATTTAGTTAAAACATAATTATGATACAATCGACGTTTTATTTTTCACTAGCACGACATAGAGATTATCGTTTCCGCCAAAATCGACCATAACGTTTCCGCCAAACCAGAATAAGGTCGGCTTTTCGTTTCCGCCAAACTGATCTTCTACCTGTCTATCTAATAAAAAAATTGAGAAACATTTAGTTTTATCCATGAGTCACACGAGCCAGTAGCGGTTTTAGCGTACGGGCAGGTTAAGCAGCTGCTCCTACCAAAATTGTTGTCATTTATTTGTTAAAAAATTGAATGTTACGTCCAGGTCGATTTGCACATCTAATAACAACAAAAAAATAGTAAAAAGTTGGATTAAATGAAAAGTAGATAATTTTTATCGGGTTATTTTGGAAAATATATGAACCAGTGGTTCTCAAGCTACTATTTATAGACAGGTATAAAACGAAAAACCGGCCCCAATCAGATTTGTTGGAACCGATGCGGTCAATTTTGACGGAAACGATGAACGCCCGCGCGACGTCCTTATTTAACTAAAAAGTGCCATACGCCAAAATTTAAAAAGTCGATTTTTGTTTCCATCAAACCAATTTATCCCTTTTATATTTTAGGGTTGTTAAGAAGGAAGATTATTGTAACCTCAAATTTTCACAAAATGTCTATTTTAATGTATATAATAAAAGTTAAAGGGTTCTTATCAAAATTTCGATGATTGAATTTTTTTAATCTACTCTAATACCTACTATTTGTTCTGATTTTGAAACGTCTTTATACACTGTAAAGTGCGAAGGATACATTTTTAAGATGTTTTGGAAGTGTCTTTTGAATTATTATGGTGGTGTATTATGTTTAAATAGTGAATTAAGTTCGGATCTGCTTTTGTAGTTGAGTCATAGAGCTTTTATATTTTGTTACTTGCTGATATAAGTCATTTGAATTTTTTAACAAAATTTCTTCTGGTTTTTGTTTAACTTAATCTCTAGACTATTATTATTTTTAGTTTTTCTTGTTAAGTTTACAAACTCTAACTCTGTTCTTTTTACTTTCGAAATTGGCTCTCTTGCTATTTAATATTTATTAATTGCTTCTTTTGTTTTATTGATACGGATTTTTATTTAATTCCATAGAGTTTTAGGAATTTTAGTTTGGCAGCTATGTATTTATATGTACATATTAATTATACATTTCCAATCAAAATTTATAAAACTATTAATTTAAACGAGAATAAAAGATTTTACAATTGTTAATAATGCAAATTAAGAAACTCAATTATTTATATTATAAAGATACTTTTTTGTCTATTAAATTTATTAAAGCGGATTAGAGGGTTAATCACTTCCTATAATCAAAAATATTTCTGCGATGCTAAATAATCCTACAACAATTGTACACAGTTATAACCCTTCAAAGATGATCAATAAAAATGTATGTAATCCGCAAAAAAATGTTATTTTTTTCAGTAAAATTAATTTAAATGGCAATGTTAAGCGATGCATTGAATAGAAAAAAAAACATTACACTCTAGTTATTATATTATTTTTAATAATTTATAGGTAGTATTCATGTTTATAATGAGAACTGAATAAAATAAATTAGATAATAATTAATCTAATTCTGTCCATGCGATAGATTTTTTTATTGTTACAACTTTCCTTAATTGAAGGACACAGTGTAACGACCAGGTGAGTTCATTTTATGAATATTTTTTCACTATTTATATTATTATTCAAATTTTTAACTTTAATATTAATATTTTATATTATATAATTTTGATCTCATTAAAATTAGTTTGAATGATAATTTTAAGCGATTGTTTAAAATAGAAAAATTAAAAAACAGTAAACATCACACTCTAGTTATTGTACTATTTTTAATAATTTATAGTTAGTAATTAATTTTATAATAAGAAATGAAAAAAATCAATTAGCTAATAGTTAAACCTATTCTGTTAGTGTGAAAATATGGATAAAATTATAGTTTAAGAATATTAATTATGAGATTCAACTTTTAAACTTTGTGGTGGATAAATTATAAAAGATAGAGTTTTGAAATTGTTCAATGCTCTCACATTAGTCAAGACGGTTCTAACTAGACACTAAAACACAAAATCCGTTACGCAGTTCTAGGAGAACTCGATTCTAAAAAAAATTATCTATTCGATAGACAGAGCTTATTGTACATATTATTATTATAAATCACAAAAATAATGGTTTTTAGTCTATGCGAAATAAGTATTTACCAGATTCGTAAGCACTACAAAAATTACTTGAATTACACATTATTGTTATTATATTATGCATATTGTATAATAACAATATTGTATTACATATAATTAAAGCGTGATCTAAAATATACGATATTATTTAAAATATTAATAAATAACGTATATCATTAAATACTTTGAAATATATTATTTTATTAAACAGTTCATTTATATTAAATATAATACAATAAGAAAGGAAGATTCATTTTTTTACAGCATTAAACTTGTTAAATATTAAAATTAAATTTAACGTAGTCATTTGTCATTTGTGCTGATGTGGTATTGCAAAATAGCGGGTCCTATACAAATTGATTTTTCTGTAACTTTCGCTCATCGGTAGGGGGTATTGTCATTTTGGTCGTTGCATCGTCATTACCGTATTATGTTATAATTGTTGTTTCTTACTTTTAATGAATTAAATTATTCTAATACTTTATATTAGACAGAAATTAACTATTTTTTAACTCCTTCCTTCCAACAAAACTGACTTTCTATTTGCCCCTTTTGTTAGATATGAACCAAAATCTTGTATAATTTTTTTAAATGAATGAATTGAAATACCGAATACTCTTTAATTTGGAAGCTAATAATTTAAATTGCATATGTAACATATAAATTTTAACACGATATATTATTTTTGCCATCCATCTTGCTCTATGAATCTACCTCTAGTGTACGGATTAAAAAGATTATATTTAAAACATTAAAATAAATCTAATTATCTATCTAATCATAGCTAATGTGTTGAATTTTTTTTTTTAATTTACCATGAGTATTTAAAGTTGTTAGAAATTTTATTTTTTTATTTCCATATTTTAATTTTTTAAAAATCAAGTAAAGGTAATATTCAGAAACATATTTTGGAGTCAAGAAATTAATTCAACTTTTATTATATATACAATATAGGTATTAAAAATATTATATCACCGACAGCTTTTTACATTGTCTTTCTACATTGCTAATAAATTTACGCTATTATGAATATGTTAAAGCTTTCATGGATTATTGTATTATTCAGAATATATGCATATATATTTTTGAAAACATAGATATATTTGTAAATATTATAAATAATTTATAAAACTATTACACAATAGATTATTCCTGTTTAACCTTCAATTATTTATTTAAAAATAAATTATATAATGATAATACATAATTTTAAGTATACAATTAAATTTAATGTGTAATAACTCAATTCACAAAACTATTTATATTTTATAAAAACTATTTATTTCAAATAAATATTAATAAATTTTAGAAAAGATTTCACTATCGGTAAATCACCAATGGATTTTCAATTTTCTTTTCAGTATTTGGTACGTTAAAAACTTCAAAAATAAATACATCGCTGTTAATACCAAAAAATTAGTCCAGTATTTATCATCTGGCATGTCGAAGTCCTTCAATACTTTAGTCGGTGAAGAATAGTAACAGAACACCTAAAATTAGAAACACGTAACTTTAAGTTATTTCAAAACTTCACATAAAATTGATCTAATTTTTGAAATTTGGAGTCAATATACCAACTGTTTATTTTATATTTATCATATTTATGCACCACTAATTAATACAGAAGGAACAGCGCCATTCCATTCAGCAATATACTAGGATCTTAAGCAGATACGATATAAGTAAAAAAAAGGACATTTTTATAATATAACTACCCTAAAGTTACTTTGAGTTTATTATTTGTCAGGGATAACATACAAATCAATAGCGTCAGTGCTAAGATAAAAAGAACAAAATTTATTTGAATAATAATAATTTCTAAAATATTATACAAAAATATCTCATGATAAAATGTATTATTATTATGATTTTAATTTAACTACTTAGGTTTTTGTCATATTATAAAAACTCAATATATATTACTTATATTTTAAATAATATCTGTTGTGTTTATACATGTAAGTTTTACAATAACATTTACTTTAAGATTTATAAATGGCTAGACTGGTGTATCACCAAACTTTCACATCATCAATAATTTTCCATCCACTAAATATTTTGCGTTACTTATTTAATAATTTTTACAGTTTTAGATTATAATAAAACATATTTTTATTATGTCTCTAATAAAAATTTAATTTAATTTATTAATTTTTTTAAATTTCAAAGTAGCCATTTCTTAGCTTTTTTCTTACTAGAAATTTTAATGGCACGACAACAACTTTAGGGCAAGCACTTCTCGAGTTACAAGCATTTTAATACATTGAGTGGGTATAAGGATCGTACCAGTATATATTTATAACACGTATTCCACTAGTCTTACATACTGGATGAAAAATTATTAATTATATCAAAACCTGATGGTAAACCCTGTATAATTACATAAAATTCTCTTTATTCTACAGTATTATATTACTTTAATCATTGTTGTATAAAAAATTGTATGCCATAGTCCACGGTAGAAAACATTCTAGGAATATAATAAGTATTATAAATGTAGTAAATGCATTAATGTTAAGAATTATTTTAAAATATGGAATTTCAATGTATTTAGTATTTGTTTTACTAACTACAAAAATTAGATAAACCAAGTCAGCGAGGGTATTATTAGTACAAAAAAATATAGAATACATGTTAATTTTAATCAGTTATTATTTTATTTTCATTTTCTACTTTTAATTATATCGTTTTTTAAACATGCATAGAGTAACCTGAGGTAAAAATGTGTATTTTTTTTTGTCATATATCTGTTCCTCAGAACTATACTAACACTATACTAACGCATATTTAAGTTTGGACTCTCTCATATAAAAGGAAATAGTTCGATTAAAAAAAAAAGGTTGTCGAATGAAAGAGGTATATATATACATACACATACAGTATATATTGTGTATCATAAAAAAATCATAATATAAATATTGATCAATACATTTTATAAATAGTTATAGCAATACAAATTTCAAAAATATAAAATATAAGATCAACAATTTCTTGATAAATTTACTGTAAATAGTAATTATAAAATTTTCTGACTGTGTATAATTCTTAAAAATAACATTTTTTTAAATACTCATTAAATTTTCTATTTAATGATGTAATTTTCAAACTTTATTATCAATGATAGTAAGGTACATTGTTGTGAGTTAATAAATACACTAACTGACAATACAAAAAGTATATCTATTGATAGTCACAATTGATAATAAACAATCCGTGACTGTGATAGCAATATTATAAAAAACCAGTCAGTATTTCCCGAACATTTTCAAAAGTTACTCCTGATTTGAACATTTAATGTAAAAGCTAATTATTGAATCTTTATGAAATATCTATAGTAATGAATACCAATTAACTTACTTCTGTACACTTTAAATTAGGCCGATTGTGTCCATAAATAGAATGCATTAAAGCTTCCATTCCATGTTTAAAATACGAAATATCGTATAACTTCGACAAAAACTTTGGTGTATCACTTATTTTGACTAGAATTCCAGAAAAGAGTACCCACGGAAGAACTAACATATTTGATAACAACGTAATTAACTGTCAACAAACAAATTTGTTAATATTACAAAAATTACAATAATTACAATAAAAAAATTCTAAAACAAGAAAAGATATTATTTTCCATATTTTACGACGTAGATGATAACACTTTTTAGTTAAATTTGGTTTTTTTTTTAATTAATCATAGATTACATTACAAGTCAAGTAAAGTTCATTTGATAGTATGTTCAAATCAGCGTTAAATAAAGTTAATTATTTCGTATCTAAATATTACCGTTAGATTTCTAAACAGTATTGTCACAAATACTCCAACGGCTTGTGCTAATAACCCAACAATGGTCAAGATAAGAGTGAAGAGAGCAAATCTTGACAGTTCAAAAATCTGATTTGATAAATAGTATGTAATAATGCTAAATAATAGCGTACACATAACCTAAAAAAAAAAATTAATTAAATAGTGATATAAAATATTTTACTTAAAATAATACCTGAATTGGTAAATCCACAATAATATGGCTGAAGAAAAAAGTTGATAATGAGTACCATTGATTAAAATGTTCTTTTATAGCCACTTCAAGTTCCATCGCAACTTATTTAAAAATTTTTTTTATTAATTTAATAATTAACACAGTTAATTTATGTTTCATTTTAACTCACAAGACACTGGAATTGTAGAACAAGATGTAAATGCAGTAAATATCAAACAATTAAATAAAAATTTTATGTTATCTTGTGTACAAGAGGCATCATTACCGATTCCGTAAAATATTACACCATACATAATACCAAGCAACGCATATGTTATTAATCTTATTTCATAGTACTAAAAATATATTATTTTAATATATTAAAGTTGATATTTTCAAGAAAAAAAAATCTATTTATAATAATAAATTAATTTGTCATTTTTGGACTGACATCTACTTTAAATTATTTAAGATAAAATTGCCTATTTTATTACTAAAAATATTATTTATTTATTTAAATAAATTAGTAAAAAAAATACTTAAAAAAGATACCTTTTCTTTTTTAATATTAACAAAATTCCTATAAAGTAGAATGAAACATTGATTTATATAATTTATATACTTCTTATTTTTTTTATAATCTGAATCTTTTCTCAAAAACAAAATAGGAGATACTATTTCAGTGCTTTTATCTAAAATTAAAAAAATTTATGACTTTTTTTATAATAAGTTTTTGTTATTAACATCTATACCTTTATGTATGTACGAATGAGCATCAATATTCCTTAATTGTAGTCTACCGTTCTTACTACATTTGGTTAAGTTTAATACATAATCTCCATACTCTCCATGACTTACTTCTAGTACTTTAATTTCATTACAGCAAAATGATTGGTTTAATAGTTATACCTATACGTTACTAAAATATACGATTTCGTAACATTATGATTAAACTTACTGAAATCAGCAATATTGTGATATAATGGACACTTAAGCCCATTTTTAGCGAGGAAATTTGGTAAAGCAGAAGTATGCCCATTATAAATACAATATCCAGATGGTGAAAGCACATATAAAACATCGAACTTTTGTAATTCGTCCGGAGACACCTGGTGTATTGAACATACAATTGTTTGACCAGAGTTTGCTAAGCCTTTCATAATTTGAATCACTTGTTTCGAGGATGAACTATCTAAACCACTGAAAATAAAACATATTGATGATAAATGTACATTTTTATAAATATATATGAAAAAAATAATCATTTAATTTTAAATATTTTAATTAATTCACCTAGTTGGTTCATCAAAGAACATAATTTTAGGATTATGAATTAATTCCAAAGCAATTGATAATTTTTTTCGTTGACCACCAGATAAATATTTCACCATAGTATCATAAGAGTTGTATAAACCAAGTTTACTTAAAATCCCATTCATCTAATATCAAGAAATATTATTTAAATAATAAATTTGAGTGAATCAACATAAAATTAAATAAAGTCTCACAAATTAGCCAAGATGTAAAAGAAACATAAATCTAAACAGTTTAAATTATTTAGAATTCTAATCAATTACAAATATAATTATAACAAAAACTTGTTGATATATATATATTAATACTAAATAAGCTTTTAAAAGTAAAAAAAGTGTAAATTAATTTTAGACTAATGATCGTATCAGCTAAAGATTTAAATATTATAAAAAATAATCATTTTGAACATTTAAATTTATTTAAAATTTAGAATAGATATTACGAAATATATACGTATATTTTTATCTTCTATTGTTCCTTCTAAGTAGGATATGTACACTAAATACACAAAAATTTCTAATAGAAATATGGGAAGATGGGTAAGTTGACACTCTTATGTTTTAATTAAATCTCTTAAAAAAAATATATTCACCACATTAACTTGACATTTGGTAAAAATATTACTTGATGTATTGAGGATAATTGGGAAAACCCTGATAAATTAATATTTATTATATTAAGAATTAATAAATAATTAACAAAAAAAAAAAAACCCAGAATAGTAGAGTCGTGGCACAGTAGGGATATAGCACTGTTGAGTCCAGTATAGATGATATCTGACAGTGATTAAAATCACTATTATATAAAACGCTTCGATACAAATCTGTAGATAGTGTTTAATTAAAAAAAATTGATGGATTATACCGAAAGCAACATGATCAACAATTTACTTATTTATATCTTGATTAAAAGTTTTATGATTTATAGGTGTAATATTTGAATAAATATTTATTATTGCAATTAAATATAGTATGAAATTGATATTTAATAATTTAATATTGTAATTTTTTACAAAAATCGTATTTTTTATTAACTTTGATGTCCGTTTTCACCATGAAAACAAAATCAAAATTTTTTTTTGATATTAAAGTATATTACATATACTTTAATTTAAGATATATATAAAATTGTCAGTATTTCTGGAACACTTTCAAAAGTTAAGTTGAAAAATTGAATCCCTCTGTGTTGGTAGGTAAAGGGTCAAATTAATAAAAAAAAACATATAAAATAATAGGTAAATATCTCATAAATCTATAAATTATATTGATCCATACATTTTTCAAAAAGTTATGGCGGTTTTAAGTAAAAAAAATTGAAAAAATTCCGAAAATTAGCGATTGTTAAAATTGTTATGTTTTTGGAGATTTCCCCCATTTACTGGGAACGAGGGAAATTTTTTCAATTTTTGAGGGCAATGTCTTCGACTAGATACAATTTGTGATCTTTTGGCGTAACGTTGAAAGAAATCCGTTCGGTGAGAGTTGAAGAAAAGTGGTAACAGACAAAAAAAACACATCGTAGTAAAATTAATACCTTCTCAGCTTTGCATCGAAGCTAAAATAGCCCCTTAATTTGAATATCACTTAAAATTTCAAATACTTTTGTACTTGAAATTTACCGACATTCGTAATGTTTTTACTTATTTATTGTAATGAAAAAATTTCGGTTAACTTATTTATACTCAAGTTAAAACCTTATGTCATAAAACAACAATATTATACCGTTATTGTAAAAAAAAGTATAATTGCGATTTAAAACAAAGATCTGTGTTCAATAAAATTATTTTCGAAAAATTAGTAGTTGTTTGGTAAATTTATTTTAAAATACTTCTAAAAAAAGATCCCAAATACTTATACATTCTATAAATCCAAAAAAATCATCTTGATCCAAGAGTCAACTTACACCACCTTCTCTAATTAAGATAATCCCTATGACACAACTAGAATTTGTCTGCTATATGAATCTTTTTATATTAAATATTCATTGAGATAATTGAGCATAATCCACACATTCCTATGATGATAAATTATATTATTGACCATTCCTTTTCTATCAAAAAACCAATATTGCTTAGAATTTTTTTAAATTTATGATAATAATATTGATTTTGGTATTGGGGCCTTTGATTTATTTCTTTGCAAAATTCATTAAACTAAATCTGAAAAAAGTACACCACTTTTGCTCTCATAGGCTTTGTAAAATAAACATTTTTTACCATTTCTATGTTTGATCTATTGATTGATAACACTGAATATTTTAATTTAATTGCAAACTCCATGGTTTCTCTGACAGTGAGTTGTCCATGCAAACTATTATCTTGCATAATGTAGCATGATTTTTTTTTAAACTTCCTAAGCACTCGCGGTTTATTATTTGCCATTACCGCACCAGTAAAACCGGTTCTCCTATAAATAGTAAAAAAAAGAAATCCATTACATTCGTTTTCGGGTTTCACGTTACAAATAAATAACGTTTTACATGTTTCTAATTCACATAAAGTATATAAGTATACACACACACACACAATATGTCCTTCTATCTCTCTTAAAAAAATACATCATTTTAGGAAATATATTTTCAATTTTTCACACATAAGAAACAAATCACGATGAGCGATGATATACATGTATGTGTACGTCAAAATTAATTTAATTAACTTAATATACACAGTGATTAGTTTTATCATTGACATTGAAATATCAATTAATTTCTCCTAAAATAATAATAATTTGTGATTTTTTTTTCTTCATTTGGTAGTATTTTTTAGGTTCATGCCTTATCCTTTATAAGGATATAAACTTTATAATGTTTCAATAAATGGTAACACACATAATTAACTAGCTTAAATGTTAGAAAATTATCCAACTAAGAAAATTACTGATTTATAACAACATTCGAACAAATATAAGAAGTAATGAATATTTCTATAATTGGGCGGGGTACAGCAGAGTGATGTGTAATAATACAAATATATAACCTGCACTAGAACTATTATCTATAGTTTATAATTTTTATTAGAATTCAATATATTAGTTGTTACCGACCAGTCATTTTCTCGATTAAATCATTTTTAAATATTTAAGCTAGTAAAATGTGTATGTGGCTATTTAAAAAAATAAAGATGATATCCTTGTAAGGGATAGGCCATGAATCTAAAAAATATTTAACTACTTTTAAAACAAAAATTGAATAATATTAAAAAAGAAAATGATAAATTAACCATTCCGTACAAGATAAAATCGAAATAATGTTTCTTCACCTGTATCCAGATAAAATATTTAATAGAGTAGTTTTGCCACAGCCTGAACTCCCAATTATTGCACATAATTGATTTTCTAAGAACTTTCCACTTATGGCATTGAGTATAACTTTTTTTTCTGAAAAAAAAAGTATTTAAATATTTAAACAATAACAAGTAATTACAATTAATTAGCGGGATATTTTTCATGGGTATAATTAAAATGTTATTTATTAAACAAAAAATAATATCCAAATGTAATACTAACTAATTTTTAGATCGCTTTGAAAACAATGTACACTACACGTGAGATTAGTAAATTCTATGTCCATGATGTATTGTTGATTTGGTTTTTACGCTATGAATGTAGGACCACCAAACTATAAATATGCTTATTAATATTGTTTTGCAAGTTCTAAAAAATAATGTTGTCAAACCAAACTACTAATATTATTAGTATAGATAATAAACAATGAATTTTTAAATCATACTTACGATTAATTTATTACATTTTACATGTTTCCGTCTTTTCATCAAAATCGCCTCAGTAGTTTATTTGAATATGCTGTTCCCGCGTAAGAAAAGAATTTTCATATTCTCAATATTATTATTACTAATATGCTTTTAAAATTAATTGTAGCTAATAATGTAATAAACTATAGAATTATACAAAATAGCACAACGTTTACGGTGTATCAAATACAAAGTGTTGAGCTAAAATTTTATAGTATATTTATTTTTATTGCTATCAATTGTGTCCTATATAATTTTAATATGACTATGGTGAGTATGTTACTTCATAAGTAAGCAGTGGAGAATGTAAGAGTAACAACTAAAATCTACAATCACGTTTTTCAATAACTAACGCGAATTAGTAGGTTTGTGAATTAGAAGGGGTAATTTTTCGATTAAACAGTTGGATAATTTAAACTCATTCAGTTTAGTAGAATTATTCTTTATAAATTACCCAAAAAATTCAGTATTTTTAATCAACTTTTTCCTGAACTAAAACTTATTATATATTTTACTATAATCCTTTGAGACTTTCACAATTTTTAAACACACATTGAAATAAAATTAATAAAACCAAAAAGGTAAGATTTTCAATATATTTTAATTAGTAAGTTGACAAAGTTAGAAAATAGTCTCAACTCATTTTCAAAAAAAATATGCGATTTGAGATAATTTACCTTTAGTGTATAAAAATGTCTAAAATTAAATAGATTTGTCTCTAGTTGCTGTAGAAATTATAGACAGTATTTAAATTTGAATAAATGTTTTTAAAGAAAATATAATTTCAACATACAAATAACTACTTTAAATTTGTGGTGTTTCTTGAAACTTTTTGTAGTTATTTTTATTTAGAAATATAAAACTGTATCAGGTGAATTCGTCGCGGGCAAATCATCCTGTTTTAATTTAATTTAAATAATTTATAAAGAGTTAAATTTTCCCCTCCTGTTCTCTCCAAAATTCAATTTTAAGTAACTTTAAATATATTTCAGAGTAAAAGTAAAATTTGATGTATATCCCCCCCATCTCTCTAAATCCTAAACTTAATCAATGTATAAATATAATAAATTTTTATTAGAATATAAATCATAATGAAATATTAAAATAAAAGTAATTGTAAAATTTTTAAGGATTGTATATTCTCAATATGTGTCTTCTGATTTAAGTTATCAGATACATAAATTATACATAACCATAACTTACTTTAACTATTAATTACTAAAAACATTGTAAATAAATTTTTTAATAGAAAAATTAAATAATTTTACATAACTATATATTAGTTTATTATTATTCAGTTATATTTGCATAACTGGGCTATAACAATAGTAAAATACGCTGGACATTGCGATGATTTCATCATTATAAGATTATTAAATAATTTCATTACTATAAATTATTATTATCATGTTAATTATGATTTCTTTACTAACTTAGACTCTGTACTGTATTTAGTCAAGTCATATCAATATTATTTTTGATGAGAAACAATCACGTAATACATTATAATCTACTAGTTAAGTATATTATAATTTTAGTTACGAAATCTCATACAACATCATAATTGCATACATATTATCGTAGAAAATAATAAAATAACTATAATAGATTTTTTTATTAATACTTGACTATTATTATTTTTACTGACTTTTCTTAATTGAAGGACACAATGCAAAACGACCAGGTGAGTCCATTTTATGAGTAATTTTTCATTAAAATATTCTTTCTAAATTAAATAACTCCACAAACATTACGAGTATAAAATTCAATGGTGTATTGAACTAAGTAGAAAAATAATTTTACTCAAAATTAACTGAAAATTTGAATACAAAAATTTGCAACTTTAATATTAATATTTTATATTATGTAATTTTAATCTCATTAAAATTTTGGTCGTTGCATCGTCATTACCGTATTATGTTATAATTGTTGTTTCTTACTTTTACTGAATTAAATTATTCTAATACTTTATATTAGACAGAAATTAACTATTTTTTAACTCCTTCCTTCCAACAAAACTGACTTTCTATTTGCCCCTTTTGTTGGATATGAACCAAAATCTTGTANTATTTGCCCCTTTTGTTAGATATGAACCAAAATCTTGTATAATTTTTTTAAATGAATGAATTGAAATACCGAATACTCTTTAATTTGGAAGCTAATAATTTAAATTGCATATGTAACATATAAATTTTAACACGATATATTATTTTTGCCATCCATCTTGCTCTATGAATCTACCTCTAGTGTATGGATTAAAAAGATTATATTTAAAACATTAAAATAAATCTAATTATCTATCTAATCATAGCTAATGTGTTGAATTTTTTTTTTTAATTTTCTATGAGTACTTGAAGTTGTTAGAAATTTTATTTTTTTATTTCCATATTATTTCAAATACTTTAAAATCATTATATTTTATATTTCAAGTCAAACGGGTAGTTCTAACGGGAATTTTATTATACTCTGAAGTTTGAGTATTAAAGATTGGTTTAGAAATAAATATTTCACGTTTGTGTTTAAAAAATTTGGTCTCTAAAGAATTATTGATCGAAATATCAATGTTAGTATCTAATAACTCCAAAATTTCAATTTATTCTATATTTTGAACAGTAGTTTTTTTTCTTTTTATTTTTGAAATCATGCCTTATGGAATTTTTCAGAGCACAAAAATATTAATTTTTTGAACATAGATTAGCATTAATATATATTGTTTTTGGCTTTAATTTGAAAATATAAAAAGTGATCTTAATTAGAACCGTTTAATGGGAGCTATATAAACCTTACAATTATATACTTAATACTATAAAAAAAACTATTTTTCCTTACCTAATAATAACCACGGGAAATAAAATTATGGCTATAAATTGATTTAATAAAACTATAAAACGTTTAAAATATTATTTTTATTAAACTATGTGACTTCCACAAAATTTGCAAGTAAGAAATTTATGTTAGATATATAAACAATATCTATGTGAATCACTTATGAAATAATATTTTTTATTTTGAACTCTTAGACTATGTAAGGAGTCTGAATAAATAGGAACTTCAATAAAAATGATATTTACAAATTACAACAAAATTGTAAACATTTTGTAAATTTTCATTTAGTATTGTAATTAACAAGATTTGTAAAAGAAGCTTTGATTTTAAACAAAAATTCAACAGATACTATATTAAAACTATACAGCTTTATAATATGTTCATTGAAAAACATAATCATAATACTAATTGGTAAAAAAATGTCTTAAAATTAATAATACAGTAATCATAAAGTAATAAAATAGTTTCAACAACTATTTAGCTGGCCGTAAAATAAAAAATAAAATAGTATGTGTATTGAACTCTCACTAGCGATATGTAAATTTTCTTTTTATTATGAGATAAGTTAAAATTTTAATAAAAAGATACATAATTGTGATGACCCAAAAATTAAACCAATATTTGTTAACTGACATGTCCATACTTTCTAATACTTTTGATGGTGATTTACTATAGCAAAATATCTAGATAAAATTTAAAAAAAAAAGTATGATATTATTATTAGTCATAATTAAGTAGATTTTATAAAATATAGTAATTGTTAATTTTTTATAAGTTTATTTTATTTAAAATTTATAGAAAATTCAAATTAAGGCTTACATTCATTACTTACTTCAGAACAATTTAAATTTGATCTATTTAATCCATAAATACTATGCATTATTGCTTCCAAACCATGTTTCAAATAAGAAACATCAAATAACCATTGAATACTTTTAGGAGTGTCAGAGAACTTAACTAATATTCCAGTGAACATTACCCAAGTATTGACAATGAGTGTAACAAGTAGTGTACTAAACTAAAATTAAAAATTAAAACATTAACTTGTTATCACTTTTTATTTTATAATAAAAACTCACCAACGGATTACTAAATAATATTCCTACAAGCAAACCAGCCATCTGTGATAATAATCCAACCATTATCATAATTAATAAGAAGGATCCAAATCTCAATAGCTCAAGAGGCTGATCAGTAAAATAATATACAATTAAACTAAAAAGTATAGTACATAAAATCTAAAAAAAAAAAAAACGATTAAGAAAATAATTTATTAAAATTAAAATGAATTATAATGCTATTATACAATTTATATCGGTTACATAATTTTAATGATATTTAATAAAAATAAGAGGAGAAGGGATCTGTATAATGTATAAATAAAAATAATCTAAATTAATTTAAATGACCTATTAAATCAAAACTATTTCTGAAGTTTTTGTAACTATTAGTTATCTAAGAACAGTATTTTTTATAAATTTAAAATTTCAAACTACCAATGTCAATGTGTATTGAATAGTGTGTGAATATAAAATTTTTAATATAACCAAATATATGAAAATAGAATCTATGTATATATATTTGATATATATAATAATGAATTATTATAATATTCAATTATTATTATTTATACAAGTTGATTCTTGTAATGCCAACTATTCAATTTATTTTAAAATAATAAATTTTTCTTTGGCTTTGGTTAGTTATATATATATATATCTCATTATTTGCTATAAATAATTTTAATTATTTTAAATGGCAACATTTATATAAATTTATTTTATAATACTTCTGACCTTAATTTTTATATTTTTATACTATTATTTATATTAAAATTTATATTATTATAAAAATTTGTGTCCACAGACCGACAAACAAACGCACATATAGTAAAATTAATACCTCTTCAGCAATGCATTGAATCTTAAAGAAATATACAATATTTTTAAATGTAACTTTATTAAAAGTTATTATTATTTTTTTTTTTTGACAAATTTCTGTTTTATATTATTTTTGTAAAGTCATTAAATTCATACTTAAAAAATGTAAAAAACAATTTAACACTTATCACATTTTTGCATACAAATATTGAGTTTATAAATACAAGTATTTTCTTAAATCTAATTAAAATAGTAACAAGTTATTAATATTTATATTATCGATTCAAAGTAAAATCTCATCAATGGTTTTTTTTAATATCCTGTTGGCTTCGATGTTAATTTTACTATAACATTTTTCTTTTTTTGTGTCTGTTACTACTCAATCTCAGCTCTCATTGGACCGATATTTATGAACAATACGTCAAAAGATCACAAATCGTATTTAGTCAAAGACATTACCCTCAAAAATTGAAAGAATTTATCTCGTTCCCCGTAAATGGGGGAAATATCCAAAAAAATTACAAATTTCAAAAACCCCAAAATTTGAAATTTTTGAATTTTTTTTTTCTCTTAAAACTGTCATAACTTTTTTAAAAATGAATAAATTAATATAATTTTTTTTTATAGATGCTTGATGTCTTTACCTATCATTTAATATATTTTTTTTATAAATCTGACCCTTTACCAGTCCACAGGGAAGGATTTAAAATGATAATTTTTTCATAAAAAATTTACTTTTTCAACTTAACTTTTTAAAGTGTTCAGAAAGTATGACACTTTTTTATATATCTTAAATTAAAGCTAATGTAATGTACTTTATTATGGAAAAAAAAATTCGGACTTTATTTTGTCTTCACTGTGGAAATGGCTACCAAATGCTATTTTTTTGTGAAATTTCTCGATTTTACATTTTTAACTTTATAATACTATAACTTATTGAAAAGTGTATGCATCAATACAATTTTTTCATGAGAAATAATTTTTATATCTCTCTTTTATTTGACATACTTTATCTTAATCAAGATATTAATAAGAAAATAGCACATCATATAGCTTTTGGAACAATCCATCAATTTTTTTAATTAAACACTATCTAAAGATTTGCATCGAAGAATTTTTTTGATGGTGATTTTAATTTATGTCTGATAACATTATACTTTACGCAACTATGCCACATAACCACTGTACCGCAACCCCCCTGTGCTGGTTTTTTAAATTTTATTTCCATTGTTTAATGTATAATAATATAATTTATTTTATGTAAAGATAACAATCAAGTTAAAAATATAGTCATTTGTATCATCTTAATAATATGAAGAACATAAATTTGCATATTAATTGATCATAAAACTTAAATAAAGTTACTGTTAATGAGTGTCTATTCCTAGCCAATAATATGTTTAACTAAAAAAAATGTTATATTATACCTGAAGACCTAAATCAGCTACTGTATAACTAATATAATATGTTAATAATCCATAGTATTGATTGAAGTGTTCTTTTGTAAGTACATTAAGTTCTGAGCAAACTATAAAAAAATATAAACACTTATTAATTTTTTATTTCTAAATAAAGAACTAAAAATTGAATTATTACATACAACTGATTTGCATAGTTACACTTGAAGTAAATGACATGCACAATAACAAATTACACAATAATTTCACATTATCAGAAGTAAATGAAGCATTATTTCCAATTCCATAGTACACTGAACTATACATGACACTAAGAAATAAGTATGCAAGTAATCTTGTAATGTAAAACTAAAATTTAAAATTAAAATTTAATATACTTCTGCTAAAGCAACCTAAGGAAAGATGGATACAGCTTGACCCAAAAGGTTAAAATATCGAACTTTTAAGGGTTAATTAGTTTAAAAGGCCTTTAGGAATTGTTAATTACTTGACATTAACATGAAATCTAAGATTAAAATAAATAAAACATCTTACCTCATGATAGTTATACAAATAATAAATAAATAATTTTTTATAAAGTATCATGAGGCAAAATATGAATTAAATAGGTAAAAATTATAACCCATGACGATCCACAATTTTTTAACAATTCTAATAAATTATAATTTACTAAATATTTTGCATCATTTTTTTTTTAAATAATTTGTACAGTATTTGAGCTATATTAAAAACATATTTTTTATGTATTGTTTTTGATAGTAAAATAAAATATAAATGTTTATATTTTAGATAATTTTTAAAACTGACTTAATTAATTTAAAAATAAAATAATATTGATAATTTTTTTATTGGATCTTATAGTTCCATGTTACATAACATACATGATTAACTAGCTTATTTGTTAGATAATAATCTAATTAATTATAGGACTAATTTATAATAACTATTGTACCAGTATTTCGTAGGTTATTTATGTGTTTATATCTATATGATGGAATGAATATAGCTGGGAAATGTTTGGTCATAAAAATACAAGCACATATTCATCAACACCAGTTATTACTTTAAATTGTTAATAACTTCTGAAATACTGGTTATCAAACAGTCATTTTCTTAATTAGATCATTATCTATTAAATAAGCTTGTTAATTATGTATATTGCTATAAAAAAAAAAAAAAAAGTTTACAACTATATAATGCATAAGGGAAGAACATTAAAAATAGTTTGAAAAACAAGTTATTTAGACTCTAATCTGTGCTTATTTGACGTTGAAAATTGGACAATAAGGTAGTTTTTTGGTTGATTGCATATAACTTGTAAAAAAGCAATTGCAGAAAAAAAACATAGAATGTGAATTGTAAATATAAATTTTCTTTATATATCAAGTACTTATAAGATTTTTTGATAAATCTATCGGTTTTCTAAAAAATTACAGAATACAAAATATTTTGACGATTTTTAAAAATAGAAATTTTTACAGATTTTTGGTTATATTTTATGAGCGTTTAGAGTTACAAACAGATATTTCATATGAAATGATCACCTTACCCTCTACCCTAAAACTAATAATTGTCTTAACTCATAATTAATAAAAATACAAAACTAGTTAATGAGCAGTCAAAATTTGGTCATACATTTAATAGTAAAATAATAATAATAGGCTCTCATTTAACTAATTTATTACTGATGAAGTATGCATAATAAATATAAATCAGTACCAGAGCTTTACAGTATGTGTGTTATGTACCCACTCTATATATTAAAACTATTGTAACTCAATAAGTAATATTCGTAAAATTGTAATTGACATATCAAAATTGTTTGTAAGAAAAGCTCTAAAAAATTTTGAAAAAAAAAATAAAAAATTTTAATTTTATATATTTTACTATTAAACATAAATAATAAATATATCATTTTAAAGTAGTGTAAGGATACTTACATTGTTAAATAAAAAAATAATAATGCATAATATTTAGTAAATCAAAAGTCAATAGATTTGTTAAAATATCATGGAACCCTCTGTAGATGAGATTTTAATACTTTATTGTGATTAAGTTTTTAGTTAAAATATCTTCAATGCTCACTATTGTGGCCCTCAAAAATCGAATGTCTTTTTTTTTTTACGCTACCCCTGAATTTTTTTTTAATGGTCAAAAAAATGAGCTGTGCAAAATTTGGGACCGATCCGTTAAGGTTAACCCGTGCCCCCGGCCTATTAAGTTGAGTCAAAGAGTCAAATTTAATAGAAATAAGTGATCTATGTCCCATAACTTTTTTTTCTCTTAACTTAGAATAATAAAAGTAAAACTCAAGTAAAGGAAATTTTACAAGAAATTCAAAAATAATAACTTCAATGTTGTTTTCTCAATAAATAGCCCACAAAAACACTACATACAGTAAAAAACATGTAAAAGTCTTAAAATACGTTANATACATACAGCAAAAAACATGTAAAAGTCTTAAAATACGTTATAACTGATTTTGTTGATTTTTAATTATTTATTTTCATTTTGTTTTTTGGAAAACGCATGTTCGTTTAAAAAAAGATTCTAGAAGTTTAATTTTTTATGCCAAGTACGATAATTATATTAGATTTATTTTTTTATGGACAGTTAATTAATGATTAATTACAAATTTAACAAAATTGATTGTATTATTACATTTTGTCGTATCAATATATCAATTTTGGTTTACTGAATTACTTTAAGATAATACCAATTATATTATTATTAAAGATAAGAATATTTGAGTTATTTTCGACAACTGACATAATTTGTGTCGTATAAATGCAGCAGACAATTTGTGAACACGTTAAATATATTTTACATGTTTATTATTATGTATTAAATGATACGTTTTAATCAAAAATGTACAGTACTTTTAGCGTCTTTTAAAGTATAACAAACTAATATTTATCTTATTGGTAATTATTCCCACAAAATAACTGGTAGTAAGTTCCCATCAAATTTACAACTATTTAATCTGAACACTGATTTTTTAAAAATTGATCCATCATTTTGGAGTGCGAACAACAGTTACATAAATGCTTTAAATACTATAAGTAAATTACGAGTAATTAATGATACAGCCTAGTGTGGCATTAAATTAATCTAAGACTACATTAATATATTAACTACAAATGAACAGAACACAATACGTTTTACAAATAGTAAGTAATTATCGGAAAAAATTTCCTAATTGTAAAAAAAGTACATTATCAAAAAATATATTATAATAATATAATTTAATTATTGTTAAAATATTTTTTTTAAAGTTATTATTATTTAAAAAAAAAAATTAATTAAAAATTATTAATAACAATTAAATTAAACTGTTAGATTTGTAATTAATCATTAATTAACTGTCCATAAAAAAATAAATCTAATATAATTATCGTACTTGGCATAAAAAATTAAACTTCTAGAATCTTTTTTTAAACGAACATGCGTTTTCCAAAAAACAAAATGAAAATAAATAATTAAAAATCAACAAAATCAGTTATAACGTATTTTAAGACTTTTACATGTTTTTTGCTGTATGTATTGTTTTTGTGGGCTATTTATTGAGAAAACAACATTGAAGTTATTATTTTTGAATTTCTTGTAAAATTTCCTTTACTTGAGTTTTACTTTTATTATTCTAAGTTAAGAGAAAAAAAAGTTATGGGACATAGATCACTTATTTCTATTAAATTTGACTCTTTGACTCAACTTAATAGGCCGGGGGCACGGGTTAACCTTAACGGATCGGTCCCAAATTTTGCACAGCTCATTTTTTTGACCATTAAAAAAAAATTCAGGGGTAGCGTAAAAAAAAAAAGACATTCGATTTTTGAGGGCCACCCTAATGCTCACTTGATATTGAAAAATAATAATGCTATTGTTTACTGAATATCAAATAACTATATCATTTTATTTTAAATTAAATAATAACATAATTAATAAAAAATGAAATCACACTTTTTGAGACAAATTTGTCTGAATTTATTGAATTAATAATACTACATTATTTATCGATACTAACTTTTTTTCTCTTCATACTAAGCAAAATCATATGCAAAAGAACAATAAACTGAATTGAATTCCTACAATCTTTGTTCACTTTTGATGTATGAACTTTTTTACCAATGATTTCAGTAGATTTTGAAATTTCTTGAAGTTTTACTGAAAAAAGAAATACTTCAACTAACTTCACTAAAATATTATTAATTTATTATTTTAACCTTCTGTCAAGTCATTATTACTACTTTCCCACAATGGTGATTTTCCATTTTCAATAGATTTCATCAAATTATAAGCATGGTTCCTTCCATATTCTCCTAAGCTCACTTCAATAACTATATGATAAATAAATTTAACTTTTCTTTATTTATACAAGAATAATGATAACAATTATATTTTGTTTTTGCTCACTGAAATCTGCTATATTGTGGTACATAGGACACACTAACCCTTGTTTAGCAAGAGCATTAGGTAATAATGAAGTTGATCCATGATAAATACAATAACCACCCATAGAAAGTATATATAAAGAGTCAAACATCTGCAATTCATTTGCTGAAACTTGATGTATTGAACAAATGATTGTACGTCCACTATTAGCAAATTCTTTTAAAATTTGAACGACTTGCTTTGTTGACAAACTGTCTAATCCACTTTATTTCAAATAAATGTAAATTTTTATAAATATATATGAAAAAAAAATAATTATTTCTTTTTAAATATTTTAATTGAAATAATTCACCTAGTTGGTTCATCAAAAAACATAACTGAAGGATTATGAATCAATTCTAACGCAATAGATAATTTTCTTCGCTGACCACCAGACAAATTTTTGATTAACGTATCACATGACAAATTAAGATTTAATTGTTTTAAAATGATATTTATCTAAACAATTAAAAATTTAACTAAAATATATGAAAATCATTTTGTTGGTATTATGCAAAAAAATTATTAGCATCATGGTGTTGGCAGATTTAAAAAAACTTATTTAATATTTACCTTCAATATATTAATGAATTAAAAATCTATAATTTTAATAAAATAATTACCATTTTATATTTTAATTTATTTAGCGATATAACAGATGTTTTCAATTTTATAGCAAATTCCATTGCTTCTTTAACTGTAAAATTTTCATGAAGGTAATCTTCTTGTGTAATGTAGCAGGACTGTTTTTTAAATTTATTCAACTCTCGAGGTTTATTGTTTGTAAAAAATTTTCCAGTAAAACCAGTTGTTCTAATTAAAAATAAATTGTGTATAATATAGCAACAAAAATAAATATTTTTTATTGAAATTATTATTATCTTAATACAATAAGCATTAGTTCTACTGTAACTTTTTTTCTCAGATTTCACAGGTAAACAACATTGTTTATCTCTGTAACATGTAACATAACACACATAAATGTGTTTTAAAAATTTATTTCTGGATTTAAATTATAAAATTTATCAAACATTTTTTGGAATAAAGGCTTTCTTTAGAATTCACAATGAAAAATAATAATTAAAGTAACACAAAATTAATAAAATCAAACACTACTTAGTCCAAAGTTTTAAATATACATTATATTTGAAGTGTAATTACAACGGCTAAAACTGTCATTCTATAAACTTATATCTTACTTGTAACCTGATAAGATGTTTAGCAATGTAGATTTACCAGACCCTGAACTTCCAATTATTGCACATAATTTACCACTAGGAAACTTGCCGCTAATTTCATTAAGAATTATTTTTTTCTCTAAACAAAACAATTCATATCAATGATTTTGTTAATATTTCAGCAATTGTTTAATAAACAAAAAATTCTTTATCTTTTGGTTATAAAATAATGAGAATAAGAATAGTGAACATAAACATTTTTGACAAAAAGAAGTATGATTTAATTTTAATTTTAGCTTCGATGCGAAGCTGGAAGATATTGGTTTTACTATGTGTTTTAATTATTATTATTATTTTATTTTTGTGTCTGTTACCACTTTTTCTCAGGTCTCATCGGACCGATTTCTTTCAACGATACGTCAAAAGATAACAAATCGCATTTAGTCAAAGACATTACCCTCAAAAATAGAAAAAATTTCACTCGTTTCCCGTAAATGGGGGAAACCTCCAAAAAAATTACAAATTTAAGTCGCTAATTTTCAAAATTTTTTTTTTGTTAAAACTGCTTAAAAATTACTTTTTTAAAAATGAACAAATCAATATAATTTTTTTTTTATAGATGCTTGATGTCTTTACCTATCATTTGGTAATTTTTTTTTTTATAAATTTAACTCTTTATCTGCCTACAGGGGGGATTTAAAATGACAACTTTTTCACAAAATATTAACTTAACTTTTGAAAGTTTTCCGGAAGGTCTGACGCTTTTATATCTTAAATTAAAGCTAATGTAATATACTTTATTATGGAAAAAAAAAATTCGGACTTTATTTTGTCTTCATGGTAAAATGGCTACCAAATGCTATTTTTGTGTGAAAATTCTCCATTTTATTTTTTACATTTTTAACTTTATAATGCTATAACTTATTGAAAAGTGTATGGATCAACACAATTTTTTTATGAGAAATAATATTTTTTAATAATCTCTTTTTTATTCGACATACTTTATCTTAATCAGGATATTAATAAGAAAATAGCAGATCATGTAACTTTTGGAATAATCCACCAATTTTTTAAAATTAAACACTGTCTAAAGATTTGCATCGAAGCGTTTTTCTTTATAGCGATTTTAATCACTGTCAGATATCATTATACTTGATCCAACTATGCCACGTTACCACTGTGTCACGACCCCCCTTGTGCTGAGTTTTTTATCCAACAATACTGCTACTGAAAATGAGAGTAATATCTACTAATAAATATAAAAATTACTATTAACACCACCAGAAGAAAGGCAAAGCACTTACCTAGGAACCGCGTTTAATAGATAAAAAAAAATTATTTCACTACAAATAAATAAACTGAATTTCACAATATCCAGAACCGAAATTGACTACTAAAAATCATACTCATACGAATGTTTAATGTTTATATTCCTTTATTTCTTATGAACAAAATTGAAATGAAGTTAATGCTCGGAATAATGTAACATTCTGTATCATATAAATAATTTTATCTATATATTTTATACGAATGATATTCTATTTTAATCAAGTCCTTTCGGCAGACTAATTGACTTTTTAACATTCAAATTGTCCGTATGCGACAATGGTGTTTAGAACAAACAATGATTATAATTGATAATAGTTTTACTCATAACGAGTGAATAATTATAACTTATAATTTATTTATCATTGAATTATTAGTTTAGTTAACATTTTCACAATTTAGTTAAGTTTATAATTTATGAAACGTTTTTTACAAAAAAAAATTCAACATTTTGAGTTACATATTTAATTTTTACAAGCCAAATTATTATAAAATAAAATATTTCTTTTTAACTTATACAATAAACAAAAAATGAAATTGCAACATATTGTCATTTCCGTCACAAAATCGCGTATGTCAAGTTTTTCAGAAATTTTTTTCTCGAGAAATGTATACTTACAATATTGACACATATTTTTACGTTTTTAAAATAAAAACTTGTAGTTTTAAAATCTTTTCTTCATTCTGAATAAATTTGAAAACTTGAGATTATAGTCTTGTCATCAAGACGACGATATTTTTCCGAATTTATCATTTTTCAGTATAAACATAAATATAAAAGATAAAATAAAATAAAAGCTAGTTTTATCTTAAATTGATCACGAGTAAATCATCTACAGATAATTGTTTTTAATCATACAAAATTTTATTGTATATTTAATGAATATAGGTTTTAAACATCAAAAATTTTTGGAATTTTCAGGTGTAAAAGTAAATATTTTCAAAATGTGTTTAATGTATGTACCAGTTAATATTTGTAATTAATTCAAATCAATTTTTAATTTTAATGTTAATCTCGTTGAAAGTATAAAAAATAAAAAAAAGTTATGTAATTTTTTAAAGAAGGTAACGCTGGTTAGTGCGTATAGTCGGAAATTTTATATAAAATTTGAGGGAAAGCTGAAAGAATTCTAATTTAGATATCAGGATTGAGATTTAGAAAGACTACTTTCCTATTTTTTGTCAAAAGTCATAAAATATTTTAAAAAACGAGGATGGTGTGGAAGTAAAATTTTCTATTTTTTTTTAATTAAGTGTTAAATAACCCTAAGTTCTTTCTTATTTTTGTCAATGTCAGGGCGACAATTTTTATAAATACTATATCTGCTCATACAACATCTCATGAAAAAATGAGATTAACACCCAAAATTATATTTTAAGTTAACTACATTGTCATAATATTAAAGTTTTCTTGCATAAAAAAAGTCTTACTTATTTTGAAATCGTTTTGAAAGCTACGCACATCGTAGGTAAGGTTAATAAATTCTAAATCAATTAGTTCACTTGTCGAGAACGATTTTTCAGACATTCTATATGAGTAATCTGAAACATAAATATAAAACATATATTTGTAAAAAAATGAGGAAATAATAGTGTTTAAGGCGGCAAGACGTTTTGTTTTTCGTAGAAGGTAAATGGTAAGCTGTCATTATTGTACCCAGTGCGTAGGACTAAACCGGACTTTCGTTAGCTTTCTATTTTAACCTTTTTTTAAATTAGCTTATACATTATATAGGCAACTTATACAAAATAAATTAACTTATATAATAATTATGAAATTACTTTACAATCGTTTTAAAGTAGTAACTATATAGAAAAGATATTGAAAATTATTTTGTTCTAGTAATGAATTGGATCATAGCCTCTAATGATTTTCTTCTTGAGAACTGAAAGCATAATTACACTATCACGTATACTTCGGTTAGAAAATGAGGCATTTTTCCATTGTTTCATTAGAAAAATAACCTGACTTGCAATAAGCCTGAAGCTTTCATTTTAAATGTTATTTACTCCAAAATAAAAGTAAAAAAAATTAATTGACAACTTATTTTTAAGTCATTAAATATGTATTTAATCATCTTATAAACACACATCAATATATTTAAAGGAACAAAAAAGGTTTTAGAACAAAATTATTTTTGAAATTAGACTACATAGGAAAGTATAAAACTGAAAAGTAAGAACTTTTAAAAAATAATATTTTTGAGAAAAATTACACAAAATATATTTCAAATGTTTGAAATCAATTCAAGAATAAATAATTATAAAAAAAAATGTAAAATATTTTATAGATCAAAGGCAAACTGAATATAGAGCAATGAGGGTATTCCTATGAATAGCGTATTACGATTTACAAAATTGCATTGACCTTTTTTTTTGCTTATCAATTTTTTTTTTTTTTTTTTGGAGGTAACAGAACTACTACGTCACTGGTATAAATCAAAAGTTATCATTTAAAAGTTATCTTATCGACGTGGTATTTCTACAGAGATGTCTATAATGGTTTTACAGTCATCCTGACAACAGTTACGGCCAGCACAAGACATGAGTCACACAGATGTTGTTTTTATATTTTTAGGTGTTTATTTATTAAATATAAGTTGATGAACATAAAAACTCAACAAAAAGTATAAAAAGCTGCAAGTGTGATCTTCCCAGACGGGAAAAATACGGCATAATCTAACATTAGAACATTTCGAAAATTATTAAAAAATTATATAATCAAAATGTTAGACGATTAATTAAAACAGTTCCATAAATCGTAAAATGTAATAATCTACTATGAATATTGTTACCTATGTTTACTTTGTAAGATCTTCATTAAATTAAAATTACATTTACTATGTCACTACCAAATAAACAAATAAATTATTACTTTTATTACTAACTGACAACAGAATTTTTGTAAAGAAGATTGACAGAATACAAACGAACTTCTAGAATAATTTACAGGGAGAGACTTAATGAATATATACGTTTGTATTATTTTCAAGATTATTTTACATAATATTATTATGTAAAATAACACTGTTATATGCATAATGTTTGATAGCTATTATTAAGTCATAAATATCAGGAAATTGTATGGTTCTTTCTCACCACAACTATATTCACAGTAGTGGTGAATACAATACTAATTTATTAATAGTAATAAATGCTGATCAATTTATATAAACACAATTATTTTCATAAAATATAGCTATTTTTTCAATATAACTGTAAAATAAATACAGATAATTATTTACTGGTTCACCAAGTTAATTATATTAAAATAATTAATTATTACAATCGTTTTTTTATTATTTTTATTTTCTAAGCAAATAATTTTAATTTTTCGAATATGATATACATTATATACATGAATGTAAAATAAAGAGATCTGATAACCGCTATCTTATATTAACAATTAATATGTCCGCTTTTTAATCTCGAAAAGTAACATAAACTATTAAATAGATAAAAATTAATCACAGTTAAAAGTTTATAAATCAAATTGTAGTAATTATTTATAAATTTTAACATAATTTCTTAAGTCAAATCTTTCAAAAACTTAGGAAAATATTGTAGTTAATAGATAATTTTAAAGTAGTATAATTTACCTTTGCACTTAAATATTATCTCTTATAAATACTTCTCAATAGATACCAATGATAGAGTACAGGAAGTTTTAATAAGAATATCGTCAAAAAAATAACATCAGAAGAGATATCCAACCATTTTTATTTTCTTTCTGAATATCATAGCTTTTATCAAATTATTTTTAAAAATAAAAAGTTTGATTATTTGAAAAAATAAATTATTTAATTTAATGAAAAAGAATTATAAACTTTTTTTGCGTTAAAAATAAAACTTCAATTTTTATTTATTTATCAATAATAAATCTTGTCTAAATATCATTATCAATATCCAGAGAATAGATTGTGCTATTTTCCGTATCATATATTCAATCATATGGTTTTATTTGTTTATGTTGGTATCATTGTGTTGACAGGATAACAAAAATGTCCTGATTATTTTTTTTTTTTATTCCTATACTATCATTTTTATTTAAAATGATTGAGTACTGCACTTCAGCAGTGTCCCTATAATCATTGTGCCTTAGTAACGATTATTAATTAAACTTTTTTTCATCACAAATTATAATTTAAAAAAAAATGATTATTAAATTTGTCTCAAGTAATTAAATTGACGAGTAATAGAAAAATCAATAAAATATGTCATATTACAATAGATGCATTAAATATGCTGTTTTTACCACATACTTTTTTTTGTATTATTTTTATGAAACTATATGTAATAGTTTTCGAATATGCAAGCAAAAATGAACTGTTATTTTTACTAATTTATTTTTAAGTTACGTTATTTTTTGTTGAGATTTGTAATCTAGTTTTTAGGATATAATACATTTTTTTTTTTTTTTAATATATCAATTATTTTATGTGCATATTTACATTTATATTTTCAAATATTTTTTGCTTAAAAGTCAAAATTTTATTATTATGGTGAAGTTTTAACTGAAGTGTTCTAATTAAAAAAGTAAGAAAACCGGTATGCTTGCAATACGTTGTTCATTAATTAATCAATTTCGTGAAATCATGCGAGAATAAATTTTACTTAAGGAATTAACATTTATAAAATAAAAAACTTAATATACTTCCTAGACAAAAACAAATGTATAATTTTTTTATTTTTCTAATAATAATACTATTTTATTTCTTACATAATCCTATAGCTTAGTTCGTATATACATATTCAAATTTATTTTCAATTGAGATTTCTACATTATTTATTCATAATTCAATTCAAAGAACGTATATTCACTGCGTCTAATATGCATTAAACAAATAAAAAGTATACATACAGAATGATCAGTTAACTATATCTCATATATTATTTTCAAAAGGAAAATATAAAATATAATTTCATTTTTACAGAAGTTATAAGTAATAACCCACATTAATTAACATAAAAGATTATAGTTTTATCTCCTTTTTTTCTCCTTAAAATTGTATCAATTATAGTTTTTAAGATGGAGACATATATTTTTAATTGGCTATAAATAAGAAAATGACTGCTCAATAACAACATTTGAACCAGATATCACTAACATTTAAAAATAAAGGATGAAGTTCGGGTCAGTTTATTTTTATATCTTTCAGCATTTCTAAACCTTTTTTCCTTCCCATTACGATGTAAAAATACTTAAAATAATTTTTTAAATAATGATTCAATAGTTGTTATCGATCTTTTATATTCTTAGTTAGATTATTTCCTTTTTTTAAATCAGTTAGAGATGTTATCATTTACAAATCTACAATTGATACAACGTTTAGGGGGAAAAAAGGGATATAACTATTTTTTTCCTTGTTAATTAGAGTGTTTATGGTTGTTTTGGGTTGGGGATGAATATTTTAAAATTTGAAAAATTATATTAACACGAATTCTATTGTAGTGTTGACGTTTATTATGTGTAATTTACATAAATATAAGGTGTTTAGTTAGTAAAGAAACGAGTTTCTATTGTTTTTATTGTCAATATCACGTTATTTTTTATAACTTTTAAAATTAAACTTTTAAATTTGAAAGGAAATTTCAACTATGTATGTACCGAAATATAAAATAGTAATTAAATTGACAATGCAGAATAAAATTGTTGAAAAAACAATGAATTAAATACAAAATAATTAGCTTAATCAATTCAAATAAAATGTTAAAGTAAAAACAATAAAAAATAGTTTTATTTATTGCTTGCTTAATGACTCGTTCTTATACAAGTAGATCGTTGTTCCACAAGTCAAATTTAAATAAAAATTTTCTATTAACCATTCGTGTTGCTAGGGTTTTTAACCTGCGTAGAATGTTACATAAATATTATATTTAAGCGCCTTTTAAAGAATGTCAAATATTTTTTCAAATATTATTGAAAATAAATTTTCAAATACTTTTAATGACGACCTCGTTAACTTGTATTAAAAAATTATCATATGTATTGCACTAAGCGGATAACTTTTTACTAAATTTTCACTAGAAGCGTTAGATGATAACTCACATGAGAATTCCTGGAGACACTTCGATTTAACAAAATACGATTTGTTGAGTAACACATTTTATCTATAATCGTGACTTAGATACTAATAAAAATAACAATAATGATATGTAATTGTGCAGTGAACGCTTGGTTGAGTTGGTTTTATAATTTATAATATGAAAATATAATACTTGGTTACATAGGTGTCGAAAATGTATGACTAAGGGATAGCTCCTTACTTAACAATTTAGCAAAATTATTTGTATTAGTTTATACAAATTGTTTTTTAATCGGGAAAATTTAGACAAATAGAAACAAAAATTATTTGCTATATCAAATATTATTAAAGATGTCAAAACATAGTGATACACTCTGTATACATAAGTGATAATATTTATTATATTTAGAGCATCGATATTAGATAAATATTGGTATTAAAAAAAACCCCAGCATAGTGGTGATGTGGCATAGTTGGATTAAGTATAATGATATCTGACAGTAATTAAAATCACTA